GGCCAGCAGGGGGCGCCTCCGCGGGCGCCGCCATCACACGGCCAGCAGGGGGCGCCTCCGCGGGCGCCGCCATCACACGGCCAGCAGGGGGCGCCGCGGCGGGCGCCGCCATCACACGGCCAGCAGGGGGCGCCTCCGCGGGCGCCGCCATCACACGGCCAGCAGGGGGCGCAGCCGCGGGTGCCTCGGGCAGTGCCGCAGGCAGAGCGGCGGCAGTTGCAGGGACCGCAGGCAGAGCTAGCGGGTCAGGCAGGACAGGCGGTGCCACTGGCAAAGTGGCGACAGCTGCAGGCGGTGCCGTGGACAGTGAGGCGGCAGCATCAGCAGGCGGTGCCACGGGCAGAGCGGCGACCGTAGCAGAAGCAGGCGCTGCTTGCAGGTCCGGAGTCTGCGGGTCCGGATCCGGTGCGCCTGGGACTACCCCTTTATGGGCTGGTCCCGGGGAATTGCATCTTTTATGGCGCTGATCCCTTTTCCGGGTGAGCGTTCTGGCCAGTAATCACGGGGTTTACTGGCACGGGGCTCACCGGTAATCGAGGCGTCTTCCCCAGCGGGCGTTAATGAGCAGGCTCCTAATTAGAGCGCGGACTCTCTCTCATGCCATCCTTGGTGCTGCTTTCTTCCGGAGCTGGGGGGTTGAGCAGCAGACGCCACGTTCAGCTCAGTCATGTGCTGCTGAAGACGCGTCTTTTGCTGTGCGGTGGAGGCTGGAGCTCTAGCCGTCTTACGTAAGACGGAGTGGAAGGTAGAGGGTGAGTCGGGGGGCGGCTCCCAGGAGGTATATCCCAGCGGGGATAACCAAACAGCCGCTCTCTCCTTCAGCTGACGTAGGTGTTCTCCCACCTTAACGTGAAGCTGTTCCTCACCGATATCGTACCACTTCTTGATGAGCACCCAACACCTCTTTACGAGCGGACGGGCTACTGGATCGTCCCGGAGTTCCAGCAGGTTGGTCCAGTGAATCACTTCTTCTTCTATGGGGAGTTCTTCCCTGGCAGCGCTGAGCTTGGTTTGGAGATTAGTCATTCTGTCACGTTCCGAGGGCAGGTGAGCCGGAAAGCAGGCGAATCGAGCTGTACTCACAGATAAATGGGGTTTTATTGACCAAAGGACAGACAGGTAGGGACATCAACGGACACTACAATGACTAATCTGGGGAAGACTGACTGAGACTAGGACTAAATACATAAGACAAGGCAAACGGAATAGGGAACAGGTAACGACAATCAGGATTCAACAGGAGGTAATGAGGGGGCGTGGCACACACGAGGAGCGTTCGGAGCTGAACGTGACAGATATTGATTTTATCATTTGGTGCAAGCACCATTTACAGTTAAATTACCACATCTGTTTCTTTAGACACGCTAATCCTTATCATTCTGGTCTACATAGACACAAGTCAAGCCATGGGGTCAAATGGAGAAAGGAATCCAAACAATATAATATAGTTCTGAATTCTTGATCTTTTGAGTATGGGAGAAAAAAGGAGCAGGGCCAGAAGGACAGGTTTTATTTGCATTACTTCAGGTATGTTCCTAGTCAGAACTTGTGAGTAGCGTGCTTGTTTCACACTTTGGAATGTATCTATGCAACTGTCAAATGTTACCCTGATTCATTTGTTATTTGCAGAATCTCTCTGTTTTGTCTTGTTCGCCTTCTTGATTTGCAGTCAGGGTTGAGGTAGGTTTCTCTTTGATTGGAGGCTGTGTTATGACCAATATGTATAATCTTTTCTCAAAGATAAAAGGAGAGCTGCTGCCTTGTAAACAAATTTTGCTGTGTTGCTGTTATGCTCCCAAGTGTATAGAATGAATAAAACTTACTCATCCAAAACATATATCATATTGCTAAACCCTGTTTGATCAGATCATGCAACATTCAATCTTAATATCCATTTTATTCACCTGTCCATGTTGTTATTTTTGTTTCACTACCATCATACTGATTGTGAACCACTAAAAAAATGTAACTAAAGCACAGCAAGGTCACAAAGAAGGTGTGTGCAAAAAAGCAAGATGGGTGACACATTAAGAAACACTGATAGGAAAATGTTTGTGGAATTTAGAAGGACAGAGGAGGGTGAGGCCAAAGAATGGAGGCGGGGAAAAATAAGAAGTCCTGGGAGGTGAAACTGAAGACGTTGTTTAGCTGTAAGACTAGTTTGTGAGAGATGAGGTGTGGCTGCACCAAGTACTAAAGCACACAAAGTAACTCAATTTCCTAGTGAATTCTATGAATGAAGGATTTCCTGTAGCAAAGTCACTGATTTGGGACAAGCTAAACCAGTGAGTGAGGCAGGTTTGGACCTGTATGAAGCTAGCTACCTAGGTGCCTAGACTTTAATTCCACTGCTGTGGCCATGTGTCTTAGCTGACAAATGGATTTATCACTAAGCCAACTCATATTAAGGTTCTGCTTTTACAAGGTATGCTTTTAGAAAAGCAGAGCTTCCTGGTAATATTGCATGACTGAGACTGTGACGTGCAGAGGGGCTGAAGTGTGTTTTACGTTCGTACGTCTTGCAGGTATGTTGTATGGGATTGATTCCTAATGTATTCAGTGTGAGTTTTTTGTATTGTGTTGCTTTGTGTGTCAGTCCTGTGAATGTTAACGCTTATCTAATGTGTGTCCTGCACTATAACTGGTAATAATTTTCTTAACACAAATTTGGTTTTTATAACAATGCCTCTTTTCAAAATCCAGTATTTATGGAGTACAGTGATCTGTGGTGTATTTGATATGTGAGTAAATATGCTTCTGGTGCAACAAATTTTTATCAAACATTCAAACACTATTCATTTAATCTGTTTTGTTAATGTACAATATAGCCAATGTTAATGCTAGAATCCTTGTCTCACCTAGCTTTTAAGGGGTTTACCCACTTTGCTGATTAGCAGTCTGAAACAATTTAATGTTAAAATAAGCAATTGTTCTTTGGTAGGGGTAACCAGCTGATAGAAGTTTTGAGCGTGATCAAGAGTTCAAGTTGCCAGTCTTACAAGTTACAAGTATTAAAACCAGCTTGTTTGCTTGTGGAAGAGTAAAAATCAAATTAGGTGAACCGATACCGCTGACATAAAATCTTGGGATGTTTGCTTAAGTCTGTAAAAATGCTGCAGATTTATTGGTTTAATAATGATGGTCCAATAACAAGGACATTTTAACTGCACATATCTGCACATATCTTCCACACAGACATTTTAAGTATCATGTTTTTTGACAGACTCATTTAGTTCTGTTCTTGACATTTTGCTATTAATTGCAATTGTAGTCATTGGCTCCCAAAGGGATACTAAATACAACTGTTTGGTGTTTATGTTATTGGTATAAGGTGTTACTAATTAAAAAGCACCAAATCAGACTGCTTGTCAATTAACTTTTTAACTCAGAACAACACTTTTAGAACTGTAATTTGGGATTCAATTTATTAGTACTTAAAATGTATGTTTTACTTAAAACTATTGCCTCTTTCTCATCTGATACATATTTTTGTAAAAATATGAATAAAGTTGTGTTTTTTGTTATAAAACCAATAAATGTGCAATATTTTTACTGAATTAAGCAAGCGTCCCTTATATCTTCAGATTGAAAATGGCAGCCCTACTTCTAAGTTGTGAATGAGGTAATAAAATCCTTTGTTCTCCACTATGGAAAAGGAATCATTGTCCAATGTAATCATCTCAGTTATTGTAGTAGTTAAGTCTTTAGCTCTGGTCCTGCTAATTTTGAACATTGATAGACTTTTAATATTGGCCAAGATTGTCACATCAGATCAATACTGATAACTTGATTTTTAATTATGTTAACCAATATATTATGCATCTCTAGTAATTCCTGTATGCTTTCCATTCTGTCACCTTCACTTGCCATTTAACTTGATATGAAAATCATTTGCTTCTTTTAAAGCATTTTTGCCTTTGTTGCTCCTCTATCCTATCCTCAGTGACAAAACACATTTTTTCCTGCCTACCCTCCATTTTGTATAGCGTTTTCCAGGTTTGCTAATGTGAATTATTACTAATACAATCTCTATTTGAGGTCAAATCTTATCTAAATGGCATTGGAGAAGGGTGATGCCTCTTACTCAATGGAACTGGGAACCCCAATAATAAGTAATGGTGGAGCCAGTCTGGAGGAACTAGATTATCGAGTGCTTTGCCATAATGTCAGCCATTGTTTGTCTTTTTCTCATTAGCTGCCTTTTAATGTTTGTAAAGATGGCTTAAATTAAATCAGATTAAATAGAGATGAGTCAGCATTGTCGAATATTCAAGAATGTGTATAAAGTAAAAAAAATATATATGAAAAAATAATAAATGAGCTATTTAAATATTGTTTAGCAGCAATTTGATTAGTTGTGATTTATCTGTTGTTTAATAAGTTTGTGGTTTATTCATTCTGAATTTTAATACCACTATTTTTGCATGAGTTCTGCATGCACTTTCTGAGACAGTCATATTCATTTTCATCTCATAGTGTGGCATATTTGGGAGAAATTTAAAACAATGACTTAGGCAAACAAGCGAACAAGAACAGACCATCGTAAGTTTAGATTTTAACAGTGAACCCATAAGCTGATTTTAGTGGAATTTATTTGAATTAAAAAAGATGTGTTTGTTTCAATTTTAACAACAGAATATGTTAAAAAAAAATTATACGAAGTGCTTTAAAAATGTCTCAAAAACAAAAAACAATATCTCAAAAACAAAAACAGTATTTCAAAAATAGAAACACAAGAAACATTCCAGTATGTATACATTAACAACAGAAACAATTTATGGATTTGTATAGCTTATTTTCTGAAAATTTAAGAACATGGGTTTACTCAGCTACATAAAACTGTAATATATTGGTCTCTAATCTCTACTAAGGTGAGTCTCTTGACTGCTTTGTGTGAGTGTAAGGAAAAGTAGTAAAGATGCACCAATTTTCTTGGTTGATCATTTGAATACAGACAGTGTTAGCAATTCATGATCATAAGGGAAGTCGGGGAAAGAATGGGGGTTCCAGTCAGCACCACTAGGGTGATAAGGAAGTAGTTGAACTACAGTTATCAAAAAGTCTCCATTCTGTCCTACCCCATCACTGCCTCAGGCTCCTCACCTTCCAATGAGGTGACCCTTTATATGCAAATTCACTCACAATACCTACACACAGGGGGTAAAGAACTGTCCTTAAATTATATTTGAGCTGCCTTTCAATGCCTGGTGTATGTGTATAGCATTATATTATTTTTACTGTTCAATAAACCACCATTTTGATGAAATGAGACTCTGCAAGTGCATTGCTTACATGTTATTGGTGAACCAGCCAGGCGAAGGGGATAAAAACTGGAAGAGTGACCTGGGAATTTTTTGGCTGATATTTTCCTCAAGAAGAAAGAAGATTTCTTCATTTTAAAAAATGAGACTGACCAGAAACTTTATTCCAGAGATACCACCTTCTTCTGTGAACTGAAGGAAACACACATGTGAGTATAAGTGGTTTGCAATATCAGACGCTGAGATGAACAGTAAAATAATATATGGAGTAATTCAAGACTAAGACATGAAAATTCCCCTGATTTGACCTGTTTATTCTCCACATTTTAACCCTATGTCCTTGAGATAAATCACCACTGTAGGTATATTGTGTAAGTTTTTAATCTGTGAAAGTTTACATTTATACTCAGAACCTGCAATGATGGAGTGGGCCATTGAATATGTTGCTAAATATTGTAAAGAGGCATCTTATGGATCTCTCACAGATAAGTTAGACCCTCTAAAGTGGCTATAGAGGAGTCATGTAAGGAAAGGATCGTGAAATGTTCCAAGAAAAAGCAGAAGCATGCTAACATCTAACATGTTACAGGCCTTGCTGGAAGTGTAGACTGGCAAGTTTGTAGTCTGAGTATGCTCCGTATAAAAATACAACTGATGTACTGAGGGAGATGATAGCAGGTCTCAAACAAGAAAACTGCTAGTTGAGCAGAGCATTGGCTACCTGCAGAAAATAGTATTTAACAGTGACAACTGGTAGCTTCTCTTAGGCAGGGCCTGGAAGAGGCTGAGGAAGCTGATGCATTCCTCAGAAAGGAACTTGAGAAGTGTCAAAATGCTTATGGGGCACTTTGGTCCTGAAGTGTTAAAAACGCAGAAGTGCTTAAAAAGTATGCTGGGGATAATGATACTGCTCTAGAGAGCAAGTTGGAACAGGTTAAAAGGCATGTTTCAGCTTTGGGCATTAGACTGCCAAAGTATTCTAAATATGATGCTTCAGATGAGGGGGCTAATGTGAGGCCAGTCAAAGTTGCACTATTTTGTGTGAGAGAACATAGGACATACTTCTGTATGCAGAGGTTGATTGTCAGCCCATCACTGCACAGTACAAATATGAGGTTTGTGAGCATATTCCACTGGCTGTGTCTGAACTGGGAGATTTGTGTGCTAATGTGGGTAAATGGAATGGTGTATCTGATCCTCGCTCATACTTAGCTGAGTTGCAGAGACAAGCCAGAGCAAATGGTCTAAATCAGTGTTTCCCAACCCAGTCCTCGGGGAACCCCAGACTATCCATGTTTTTGCTCCCTCCCAGCTCCCAGCTAATCAGGAACACCAAATACCTGGTACAGGTGTTCTGGGAGCTGAGAGGAAGCAAAAACGTGGAATGTTCCCTGAGGACTGGGTTGGGAAACACTGGTCTAGATGACCAAGATTGCTGTCAAATAATTCAGTTAACCATACCTGCAGACATAGTACAATTGCTCCCTGACAATTTCAAGATGGCTGTCAATGGTCAAATACACAGCAGAGAGATAGCATTATTAGCCATGACTGGCAATCCACAGGCAAACTGGGGGAGAATTCTGGATACTAATAAGCCAGAGACAGGGTAATACCCTGTGTTCTAAATGAATTCCAAACCTACAAAAGGAATGACCCGGCAATCCTGGCATTGGTCATGATCCAATAATAAATGATGCTGCTAATGTTGAATTTGAAGCAAAAAAAGGTACTTTGACCTTTGAATACATCTTTTTTTATTATTATTTTTTTATTATTATTATTATTATTTATTTATTTATTTTAAATACATCTACTTTGAATACATCTGTAGTCCTTTAGGAAATGAGAAAGAGGTTTCAGCAGTAGTCACTAAGCAAGATAGGCTAGAAAAGATTTGTCACAATTGTGGAAAGAAGGTCATTTTAAGAAGGATTGATGGTCAAAGGGTGGAGGTGCAGCAGGACATAGGCCAAGGGTACAGAGAGATGGGGAATATAGATGTAAGAAGGAACCAATCCCATCAGTATGAGCTATGACTTAGAAAGGTATGAACAAATTATTACATGAAATCAAGGAAATAATAGCACATCAGCATGTTACTCAGAAGGATTCATGCTTTAAGTGTAAGGAGAATTCTTATTTGAAGTCACAGGAGTACCTGGCCTCTGTTAAAAAAAAAATTGGGTAATGTGAAGCCAGATGTGTTTGGAAGACCTAGTTTTGAAATTACACTTAGAGGCTACTGTGACAACTGGCTAGTA